TTTATGCTTCAGGGCTTTGGGTTTAGGGTTTGGGGCTTTTAAATGGGTTAAAGGGGGTATATGGATGTGTAGGTTCATACAAGTGTATAGAATTAATATGTTTCTATAAGCATGAACTGAAAAAGAGGCCCGCAAACACAAGCTCCACCTGCATTTACAACGAAATTTAGCGGGCTTATATAGGCTCATGGAGTTATGGGTATACGGGCAAACATGAGCTCTGCCTCCGCAGGAGTCGAGCAAGAGAGGGATGTAATCCAAAGGAAAATGCACTGGAAACTTGCATCAAGACTGCGATTGCATAGGGAGCTATATGAGTCAAAATCTCAACTCGTAGTATGCCCCTTAATGACACCTGTAGTGGTGCGCTATAGAATCCCCTATATAAGCCCACTTTAAGGAGTTTAGACCATAGCTCATATGGGGGAGTCGGCAAGGAAAAACACGCCCAAGTCATGATCCCCCAATATAACCCCAATATAATCCCAATATAACCCCAATATAACCCGAATATAACCCTTTCCTACGAAAAACACGCCCAAGAAACCCCCTATAAACCCCATAATCCCAGTTTCCATTTCATTTTCCATTTTCTTTTCCATTTGATTCTCCCTTATTGGGGTAATATTGGGTACCATAGTTATAACCCAAAAAGTATAAAGGATCCCTGACATTGATCCAGATAATCCTTTCCTACGCATGGACTTCAAAGTTCTGCTGGGCCTCCAGGAGAAGCGGATTTCGGCGCTCGAGCCTCAGGAAGGGTTTAGGGTTTAGGAAAGAGAGCCAGGTTTACGTGGGAATTTCAATGAGAGAGGTCTCCGTTTGGGTTTTGGGTTTGAGGGTTCGCGTTAAGGGTTTAAGTCTAAGGGGGTCCCCAAGAGAAGAATAGTTTCCATCTTCTTTTCCTTCCTTCATTCCCTGCTAGCCAGCGCTATGCCCCACTAGAAGCAAGCTACATGGGATTAAACATCTGCAGTTTCCCAAAATAAGGGGACCCCAATATAGACCCCAAAATATTAGAACACTTATTATTGGGGCTCTCAAAAGGGTACCCCTAACTTTGGTTGGTGCCAAGAACAAACCGCAACGGGTAAACTACAAGATGGCCGAACGCAAAAAAAAATATAAACATCGTGGACTAATGTAGACCCGTGATAAATGTACCCCCTCCTTTTAAGGGCCTAAGAATAAGGATCTCTATATTATAACCCCTATTAAGGGCAGGGGGCTGATTCATCAGGAGTCTGGGTTACCAGTTCTAGGCATTTCTAGGAGGACCATGCTTCTGAGTACTACTACTACTACTACTACTACTACTCTTACTACTAGATACGATTTGCGTTACCGTGAGCCACCTAGGACAAGTTGATTTGGTAGTTTCCCGAAATGAGGGTACCTCAATATAGACTAATCCTTGATATGGGGACCCCGATAACATACCCCTTATTTTGGAAAACCCTCAAATCAAGCTGCAGATGCGTAAAGCTAAACCCTAATCCCTAAATCCATAAATCCCGAAGCCTTAATCCCTAAATCCCTAAACCCCTAAACCCTAAACCGTACGCCCTAAACCCCTAAACCCTATTGGGTACCATAGTATCCCCAAATAAAATACGACTCATTTGAAGCTATCATCTTTGGCCGAGGCGCTCGGCAGGGCTGAGCTCAATGCGGAACTGGCCCACATCCCCGAGCTCCACCTCCTGGTTTAGGGAATTTAAGGATTGAGGGTTTAGGGTTCTGGGTTCAGGGATTTAAGGTTTTTTGGATTTAGGGTTTAGGGTCTTAGGGTTTTGGGTTTAGGGATTTAGGGATTTAGGGATTTACGGTTTAGGGTTTTAAGGTTTTAGGGTTTAGGGTTTAGGGTTTAGGGATTTACGGTTCAGGGCTCAAATTTGGGGGGCCCATGGGAACCCTAGGGACACAGGGAGAAGAGAAGGGAATTATGGGGGGTCCTGATTAGGGATCTTTTACGGACGATTTGAAGAAACTCCCTCCTCCTCGCAGTAGCGGATGAGGAAGCTCCGGGTGGAGAAGGTGTACCTGGAGAGTGGAGGCTTCGAATCGCTCCGGTCGTGTAATAGCTTCTTAGGGGGTTACAATACCATCCCCCTCAAGAGTACCCCACCCTCAATAGTACCCCCCGAGATTTTGAATTTCATGGGGCTTTGTTATCTAAGGTTTGAAGTTTGGGCCCCTGATATGTGCCCTTATTCTAGGGACCCTTAAAGGTACATATAGGGTACAAAGTAAGTAAGTATCCCAGGGTTAAGGGCCCATACTAGGGACCATTGTTTCAACCTTAGATGTTAAGCCTTGTAGAATCCTCTTCAGCTCCTTAAACCCAGGGGAGAGGTACCTTTGGGCCCTAAACACTAAACCTTAAATTAAATCCCCCAGTTTGTGCTTCTCTCCAACAGCCTCAGGGCCTCAGGGCTGTTCGGGGGAGCCTTGATTCCCCTGTTGCTGCTCCGCAAAGGACTCAACAAAGGTGTAGGGTCTAGGGATGTTGGTCTAAGTTTTCGGGAAGCTGGGGTCGCTGATCCTTATAAACCGCTGCCTAATGGGATTATCCTCATCATAGGGACTCCCAAACAATGACCCCGAAATGTTTGAAACCCTGAACCCAATGAACCCATTGTAAACTGCCAGCGTCCGTTTCGTTTTCCATTTTCTTTTCCATCCGATTCTCCATTACTGGGATTATATTATATATCCCATAAACCCTACATATATATATATATGTCTCTGTCTCTCTCTCTCTCCCTAACACCCTACATAACCCTAAACCCTAAACCCTGTACAATCCCTATTGGGTTAAATTC